TTTACATCATAGAGGTTCGTAGGTATTAAAGATCTATAAATGGCATGGAAAGGTTTTTTTCCTGACATGATCAATAAAATACCTGTGCATGACATCAGCGTATTGCTTAATTACCAACTCTCATAGTCAATGTGCGTTGTGATGTTCAGCTTTGAAATCAACAATCTTTTGAACGGTACATGCTTTTAATCGAAGAAGAAAAAATATATGCATACAATATATATACACAAGTTTGTGTTTTTCATTGGTAAAACTGTCTCTGCACCCAAAAGACAATAAACGATAATGCCTTTATCTATACATTTAATAAGTGCTTTTTATTTTTCATATAAAAAAGAAGATGTGGTATGATTGCCAATGAGACAACTCTCCACAAGAGACCAAATGACACAGAAATTAACAACTATAGGTCACCGTACGCCCTTCAACAATGTGCAAAGCCCATACCGCACAGTCAGCTATAAAAGGATGTCTTTTCTCGTTATGAAACAGCCCTGTCCGCTTTATTAGGATGTAGTGTAGCTAATTTAATTAGAACTATGTATGTGATAGATTTATAAACAAGTTTAAATTGAAAACAACGTTCAAGCCTATGATTGCGTTGGATAATAACCGCAATTTTTTTCTTGGTAGAGGGGTCTAAATACAGCACAAACAACATTTTCAAAAAGACCAAAAAAGTGAAAAAGTATATTTTAACAAAACGCATTTGACTTGTGATAAATTTATACATACATATATATATATATAGCCTTGGTTTAAAAACATAACAACTTTAAGGTTCGACAAACACTGGAATTCTTCGATAAAAACCATTACCATCAATACAAAAGCAAACCGTTCATTTTCCCTTTACGTCTCATTTTAAACCATTTTCAATACAAAACATGAAATTAAAGCGAACCGTTCCCTTTGCTATAGGCAACAACCTCGATAATTGCAATTTTACAGCAAAAAAAAAAAAAAAAACCCAGAATTCCGCGATGGGAAAAACCACTCCTGAACTGCGTCACGGCATTGGATTTTCTGACGGTTATATAAGAGGGTCTGGATGGTCTATATTATCTATTTTTTAGGCATTTTTTCTCTATTCTTTATACTTTTTGCCCATTTATTCTCTATTCTATATATTTTAGCACCTCATTATTCTCTATTCTTTTTTTTTTTTTGCCCATTTTTCTCTATATTCTTGCCTATTATTCTCTATTCTGTAAACCTCCATCCACACCCTCATACAAATCTTACAAACAGATCAATACTGTAAAGATTTTCTTTGAGAAAGCAAGGAAATATGACAGTACAGCAATTCGGTCTATGAAAACACCGCAAGGAAATAGTTTTTCTTCTGTACCACAAAACCAAATAAAATAAATAATCATCGGATACAACCTTTATATTGATAAACATTAAAACAAAATTATAAAAGCAAGCTGAGAGTACCTGCAGGGTAAGAATTCCTTCATGACTAAAATTTGATTTTAGAAAGGCCACAATATTCGGTGCCGAGTTCATATGCGTTCCATTTAATACTACGAAACACATCATTGTATACATATAGTATTACAGGGGATGTACGGAATGGATTAGATTTGCGACAAAAATTTATGAAGTCCATTTCGTTTGCATCTTGATAACTCGATCATAATTTCCTTTGTACTCTAAATCAGAATCAAAAACTGTTTGACGAGCGTAGCAAAGTGGAGAAATTTGGAAAAGGTTATTGCTTATATCAGATTTATTCTATAATCAACATGCTCTTTCTATAAATCTGCTCATCATAAGATGATCTTATAGAAAGAGCTTTTGAAACTAGTGCATCAGAGTAAATTGTAGTTATATATAGTGCTTTATACAAGAAGCAGGGTATACATTTTTTACTTTACTAAGAAATCGCAAAATATATTTTTCTATTGATAAATGCGTAATTAAAATGTGTTCAATGTGATGTGTATAACAGCTAGTTCATCAATTGATTAGAATAACGTATCTAGAACGGTTTGATTTTCTTAATAATATTGATTTCATGATGCGGTTTGTTATGCAGTATGGTGCCACGGGATACTTGGATATATACATTTAGTTCATTTGTTTCGTTCAAAAACGTTATTAATTCAATGTTGTTGATTTGCATTATCCTATGCAAACTTACCCCCCCCCCCCGCCCCCCCCCCCCCCTTTTCCAGACATGAAAAATTAATGTTACACAAAACAATACTGTTTATCAGAGTCGTAATAACCAACCGAGTGTTTAATCAAATTTAGCGCCGAAATGATTCTGCGCCCTACAAAAATATCCGAGATGAAAAACCCTCAGGCAAAGTTCGTTCACCCTAGCCGAACTCAGCTTGTACAATTTCTGTTGTATGGTGGTGATGCTCTTAAATGCTTCGTGTAAAAACTTTCGGCTTTCCAATTACTTTTCCTCGAGCGTACCTCAAGAAATATTTGTGTCGTGCGCACTCAAATCCGTATCATATACATTAATATTATAATATAAAATATACATACATATATATATTATATTTAAGTTTCGGATTTAAAAAAAATATGGGGGTGGGGGGTTGGATCAGGGCAATTGAAAACAAATTCAGTCAACCACAGAAATTTAAAAAAAGAATGCAAATTTTCGACAGGGGGTGTAGCTGGATCCGCCCCTGTCTTTCTTTATACAAGTTGCGGGTCAAAGGCCTTTCGTGCAAATTTTATTTGATTTTCTTTTTCTTTTTCGGCGTATAAATGTGATCTTTATATGTAGGATGAGCCAATGCGAACGTTGACCTCAACTTCACATTGTATAACTATACATGACATCTATAATCAATATTTATATCTGTACACAATTTAAATTTTCTCCCTAAAAAAATAAAAAATATCTAATAAAAATCGAAAGTCCTATATTTATCGAGAAAATGTTTTATACGTGACAAGGGGCTGCTAAAACAAATACGTGGTTTCTGTCAGGTTGTTTACATGACGAAATATCAAGGTTTTGTACGGAGATTAGCATTGATAAATTTGCATAGATGTGTTTATAACATCAAAGACAATGATACCAGGTAGGACTGAATTGCATTTTCTTTCATGACATATAGTAACTGGGGTTTTGATTCTTATTAATTTCTTATAAAATATGTAAAAAAAGTATATTTATATATATTCAAATATGTGTTCATGTTAAATTTTCATTATTTGGTCTTCTCTCTCTCTCTCTCTCTCTCTCTCTCTCTCTCTCTCTCATTGATATTTTTGGATAAGCTCAATCAACTCGCATTCTAAGAGTGTGGACTAACAAGCATCCACAAATATTCGAATACAGGTAAAAGAATAAAAGAAACAGAAAAGACAAAAATGGGCAAAAAAAAAAGAAAAAAAAAAAAGATTAGAGAATAATAGAGTACTAAAATATAAAGAATATTTATATATATAATGGGCAAACTAAAAATAGAAAATAGAGATATATATTATGGCCTATTAAATTAGACAAAATATATTTGGTCTATTAAATTCAAGAATGGAGAAATGAAGACCACTACCATCCTCGCTTTCTTACTGCTATAGAAATGCGGAGAATGTTGTGTGATTGCCAATGAAACACTTATCAATTGCATGGGACCAGTGACCAAATGACGAGGATGTAAACAATAATAGATCATCGTACAGCCTTCGACAATGAGCAAAACCAATTCCGTATCGTAAGCTTTTAAAAAAACCGGCAATGCAAAACGAGAAGCAATACTGGAAGATAAACCGTAAGCCTTTAGTAATGCAATAAACCCCCGCCTCTCACTAAAAAACAAAATATCCAAAGACAAACACTAAATTATAGGACCCTGACTTTAACTTAGTAGAGAAAAGGCACACATATATAGAAGGTCGGATCGAGGTCATAGCAAATGGATGTCCCGGCGTATATAAAGTCTAATTTTGCTACACAGGCGTCACATATTTGTTTTGATATTTTTTATATTTCACGGTACAGCGAGAACACGGTTTATACTTTTCCTCATATGTATACGAATTTGCTACACAAGACGATAAGTACAGCGATAAGTACATTATCTTTTCCCACATTATACAACTTTTCAGCGATTCCAATTCATTTCTGGTAAATAAAATGCAAAAATATAAGAAGATGTGGTATGATTGCCAATGAGACAAATATCCAACAGAGACCAAATGACATAGAAATCAACAATTAACTATAGTTCACCGTACGGCCTTCAACAATAAGCAAAACAAATACCGCATAGTAAGCTATAAAAGTGGTAAGTTTATTTCTAACTGCATCGTTCCCGTTATTTAGAAAAATCAAAGGGAATTAATATGCATTCTTGTAATTTCACAAGTGTGATATTGGTCAGTAATTACATGTTATTATCTTGTTTTTATTGTTTACAAACTACCAATTTCATAAAACAGATATTATCATACATGATTTTGTTACGGGTAGTCCCTCGGGCTTACCGACAAAAAAAATAATAAAAGGAAACAATCATTAATAATTAACATATTTGAATATATTAATTATTTTCATGTCTAAGATAAATTTCAACTGATTTTATAATAGATTTCAATATCATTTGCAGTGGTCAACAAAAGGATGACAATAAACACACAACAATCGGATAATAAAAATAATACTACAGCTGGCCAGTGACGGGGCTGACCATTTGATTATTTTTTAGGGGGAGGGGCAGGAGGATTTTGAAAATGAATAACTTGACTTGGCCTGGTAAGAACTGTAAATAAATAACTTTACACAAGACAGCATGACAATGAATATTCTGTAACACAAAATGCAGGAAAAAAATGTGTACAAAAGTGAAAATATTTTTTGCGCCGCAAAGTCATGGGAAAAAAACATATATATACATGTAGGTAGCAACAGATGAAAATAAATGATCCCCCCAGAAAATTATCGTCCTCTCAGTTATACAATTTTGAAATTCATTGCACGACTATGAACAAGAACTGTATCTTGATCTATAAAAATCGTCAAAATTACTACTTACCATTCATATTTATTGTAAATAATATTTTATTTCATATTGTTTAATGTATTATATCTATGCATTTTAATAGTCTCTAATATTCTGTAAAGAATGGCTCTCATTTTATTTAGTATTGTTTTACAATGTATAAATATTGATTGTACTTGTTGTGAGATGAGACTTTAATAAAACATTGATTTGATTTGATTTGATTTGATTCATTGCACGGCCTATTTCCTGAGATTCATATTTTTTTTAATTTTGCCTGAGGTCTGAAATATCTTTTCATTTCTGTCAAGGTTGTCAATGATTCAGTTACTACTAATATTTACGTGTCATGCTTGTCAGCCGATTTCGTGTAATTCAATTAAAAAAATAAGACATTTACAAATGTGACTAACACTTATCGCCTCAAATCTCCAACTTGCATGAGAAAATTTTGTTAAAAAAAGTTATTTTGTAACAGGGCTATACTATTATTTACTTCAAATTTTCTCTTCTATTATCATGTTTCATTCTCCTAAAAAATGACACGTGTATATATAGGAAATTCAATTATTTTGTTTTTATTTCAGCTAGTGTAAGTAACCATCCTTCCATTCATCGACCTATTTTCCAGTTCCTAAATAAAAAAAAATATATAAATTGAAAAAGAAAAAAAAGGGGTCCTATATAAAAGAATAACAATAAGAGCATGCATTCAATGCAACAAACCTGGTTTGCTTTTTTTTTTAAATGTTACTATATAAGATATAAATAAGAAACATTTCTGTTCAAGACTTTTCTGATGAAGAAAAACTGATTTAATGCTCAATCCATTAACACCATTACAAGTAAAAAAAAAGGGGGTCCTACATTAAAAAGTAATTAGAACTGAGGACAGGGGACTGTACTATTTACTGTGTTAATTAAATTATTGTGTATATAATATGTGAATTTGCAGTTCAAAATGTTTACTTGTTTTGTACTTTATCACAAACTTTTTGTTTAAAGTTTACATGGCAATAAACATTTGACTTGAATGGTTATGAGCGTACATTTAAGGTGTTGTATGCGTTATTTGACTGGGATATTCGTTTTGTAACAGCGATTAGATTGCGTCATCTGAAAAAAGTAAATTACCAAAAAGTACAATCATAAGAGCCGATGATGAATTCAGTGCAACAAACCTGCTTTTTTAAATGTACCGTCACCGATTACACATTGCGTCATCTGCCAAAAGTACATTACAAAAAGTTGCATCAGTATAACCATGCCGTTTTCGTTCTAAAAACTGTTTCGCTCTAATTCAATTCCCCATAACCTACAAAAAAAAGTATTATCTGGACTATAAATAATTATAATAAAAAAAAGTATTAATGTGATCGAGCGGCATCTTAAACAGTAATAAAAGTTTTATTCTATTTGGCATCATATATATATATATATATGTTTAACTAATAATTACCCCCCTCTATGCCGACATTGTATGTTTCTTCGAAACAAACTAGTACTACATTTATGATATGTGAAGCGCTCTCCTAATTTCTAATCTATATTCATGTCTATGTTATGTTTAGTTTCAAGATTTCCCTTAGGTAGTAAATCTTGAAAATTAAATATATTAAAACATATATGTATTATATGTCTCTGATTAACATGACAACTACGTTTTTTTCTGCATAATCTAAATATAAAACACTTGTAGAAACAAGCTTGCATCATTCTTTTTCTTTCAGATCAAATGGTTGCATCATAACGAAACCAGGATTTTACTTCTTGCAGTAAACAAAGGAAATCTCAACCTGTAAAATTACTATTTTGATGACGTGTCTTCGATACGTCACTGTTTATCAACGAATAATCAATCAACATTTGCCATATATGGTATTAAGTCATAAGGATATCCCATTGTTTTTGCTAAAAATAGACACCGGTCAACCAATCATTTAGCGTCAAATGTGAACGTTTGTTGTCCTGTGGAAAAATTGCGAGATAATCCGAACAGAAGAATTTCATCAATGAAATGAAGACGGCCTGCCGCGTAAAATATAGTTCTGCGACGTAGTAGCTCAGTGCACACACAAATACGAGTGCGTTGTTTAAAATTAACAGTTATTTGATATCAAATACAGAATACGAATAGTTTTTAATTTTTTTCTATTCCACCAACCATTTCTAAATTTGAAATTTTGTTCGTCGCAAATTAAGGCGGAAGAATTCGCAGGTGCACTTAGTTATAAGACGGTTATACACGTTGCTAATAAAAATTAGTACAATGGCGACGGCAATGGAAGTTAGTACAGGTCTTTGAACGGGGAGGGTTGGTACATCGTGCCCTTCCCAAGTGTTTCCAGAGAGTGTGCTTACGCTTAGGACTACAACTAATACAATCAAGATACTTTTGTAGATTTTCTAGTGACCATTCTATTTTCAACGCAGAAGGAACCCGGTGAATGACTGATAGTTAGGTAATATTTGGATCTACGCATTTCATCATAAGCTGAAACACGCATTTAGTGAATTTCACAAACTTTGCAACACTATTCCAAATCCAGATTTTGATGAGCACACTCTCTTATTCAGAACTGTTGGAAACACGTGGAAAATCGTTGACTTTTTAGCGCGGTTTTGTGTGAAGGTGCACACGAGGAAATTTGCGTTTTGTTTTGAACTTCTTTGAAGTCGAGACAAAAACTATTTTGTTTTTATACACTGCCAGTAAGCAAAACTGTGATATTAATCTGCTTTGTTATATTAATTTGAAACGATTGTTGAAAGCTGAACTTGATCTCGTTTATAATTTGTGCGATTATTTGATTTGCATTGTTCTTTGTTTCATTTCTGGAGGGAAAAAGAAAGTGAAACTACAAACACTGGACAAAGGAAATATTCCGATTCCACATCAAAGTTGAGAGGATAATCATCTCGGCTTAAAACAAATTAGTTTATTATATTAATGAGCGTAACACGTTCCAGGCCCAGACTTCAAATTCCGAGTCATGGGCCAAGGAAGAAAACAGACCATTTTGACATTGGCTCATTTAACTTAGTTCCTGGAAATCTCAGTCCAGATTTACAACCTTCGTCACCTCAGCCAAAGTTCCCAGAGAAATACTCTCCTCAGAATGTTTCCAAGATTGGAAGATACCTTTTATTGGGACAGATTGAAGGCGATGCATACAAAGCTGTGAATTGGCAGAACAATGAAGAATATATCTGCAAGGTAAATAAGTGTGGGCTTAGTTTTTTTTATGCTAAATACATGTACATGATATAAGTTTTTTTTTCAATTATATTTTTTTAACTGTAGATAGCTTACATTTAAAAACTACAGTTGTGTAAATGTAGGTAAAATTTAGGGATTTGATAGAGTTGTCTCCTCATGGTTAGAAATTTCAGGAATTTCCCCAATACAAAAAATTCCAAGTTTCAAATATACACAAAGGGGTATTTCATAAATCTTGAAGTTAACTTTGACAATTATGTTTATGTTGTTTCTGTGTAAATAAAGTTTTTGACTAAATAATTATTGAATATGATAAAACATGAAACACACCTGCCTGAACAAAGGTGTTTCACCAGGTGAGTCATACCTGAACAAAGAAAGTGTTATAGAACAATGAGGTGGCAATTCTCAGGTAATTGCTTCAAAGGAAATCTATTGGATTTATAAATTTCAGTACAAAAGAATTTAAAAATAAAAAAAAGAAATTTAACACAGATCCTTCTTTTTGCTATTTCAAATATATTTATTTTTAAATCTCATTTCTACCTTTAAATAAAAAAGTTTGTTTCATGTCTCAATTTTGGTGAAAATTTCATAATACAAAATCAGAAATATTTATATCTAAATTTAAAGCTGATGAAAATACTTTAAAATGAGGATAAAGTATTAAAACTAATACTTTCCTATATGTGCATGTACATTTGTAGATATAATACTTCCAAATTATGACACATAACAAACATTTATATGATTGGCATGTTCAATGATTGATTTATTATATAAGAAATATTAGATTGTCATGAATCGATAATTAGTAGAACATGCAATGTCATCATTATCCTAAAATAAATCCAGACAGCTGACCTTTGTACTGAATTAATGGGATGATGGGGATATCATGCAGAGGTCATATGGGTCAAACTTCCTGTTAAAAAATATTTAAATGAAAGAAAAAAAAATATACATTCAGTTCTGTTGCTATAGCAATAAAAAATACATTTTGTTAAAGATTCGCGTAATGGAATAAAAAAAACCCAACATTTTCCGCTGATTGTGCAATGTCCGAAGAGCACATTGTACTAATATTGTATTTAATCATTTATATGCACCTAGGATGTATAAAAGGAAATGCTTGTTATGTCCAAGTTGAAAAGGAAGTGAATACAAAGATTATAATGTTGTGTATTTAAAACAAGGTAAATACACATCCTGATTTTAAGGGGTTACAATATACATGTTATATATATGTGTATAGAAGGAAGTTAGATATCTGTTATCTATCATGTCTTTGGATTTGGTTCCTGTTTCAAATATCTGTCCTATGGCTTGGACTAGAAAGGAAGAAATGTTTCCATTTTAACAAAAAAACCTTAACCCTACTACATACTTCATAATGTGTAATTATATCATAGACTACAGAGCACAAAAAAGTGAAATAAAACCAAATACTTGAAAAAAGAAATAATGGTCCAATTTATGGACAATCACTTTTATACAATTTTTTTAGATCAAAGAATTTTTGCAAGGGATGACAAATCCTTCTATTAGATGACACCATGAGAAGTTGAGTGTAGGACATTGACTTTCTCTGTGTATTGATTCCCTTGTTTACTAGGGCCTGTTGCATTCCTCATCAACAAGCTAAAAATAAACCATAGGAATGTTAGCTCAGTAGCTGATTCATGCAATCAATAACACAGCTATCCAGTCAGAAAATGAAATATTTCCTTGCCAAGCAATCATTTACAGATAAATTCAATTTAATTTCCTCTTGCCAGGCTTCATCTTTACAAAAATGTGTTAGATTTTTAGTTAGACCCAATTATTGATTTTTGCATTCACAAAATATGCGATGCTGTTTATTAAACCTTGCATATAGGGGTTAATACACATACTAAATTAAATATGCAATTTATTACATTATTTCGTCAACATAAGAGAATATGTTTACATACATGCAACTATTATGATGCAATTGCATGTTGTAAGCATATGATTGATCTGAATGTACCTGTAATGAAATAAAAATATGAACATTTTATGAAGTGCACAAAAAATGACCATACAATACATCATATGTAGTACAGTACACAAAATGTCATGTACGATTGTTAGAATGGATCTGAATGGAAAGCTTTGAAAAATTAAAATAATACATGTAAAGTACACAAGTTATAGGGTATATGAATTGCTCAGTGTGCATTGTACATTGAACGTGTAGTCATGTATTCACTATTGATAGAAAGCTTCAATTTTTACATCATGCATTGTACATACATTATATATTTATGCAAAAATTTACAGATTTTGTTGCTTCTCTCTTGTAGGTATTCCCAATTACTCGATATAGAGAAATCTTGGCAGCATATTGGCAAGTGGATTGCCATGAGAATCTTAGCAGCATATCCGAGATTATTCTTGGAGAAACCAAAGCATATGTTATATTCGAAAAACACTATGGTGATCTTCATTCCTACGTACGCCAGAGAAAACGGCTGAAGGAGGAGGAAGCCCATCGACTGTTTGAACAAATTGTTTCCGCTGTGGAATATTGTCACAGTAATGGAATAGTGCTACGAGATCTCAAACTTCGGAAGTTTGTCTTCAAAAACCCTGAACGGTAAGTTTCTTTATGAAGATGAGATGTATGATTTACTCTGTCTGATGAAGTGAAATAAATGTTTACCCCCACCCTTACAAATGTATCTAACAGATGCAGAACCTTTTATTCACCATGAAAATCATACTGAATGCTTGTAATTAAAATCGTTCAAACAGAAACTGTATAATAAAATTGCTCAGTAACTTCCTGATTGCAGGCAAATTATTGAAATTTACTCCCCACAAATCAATGGCGGTTTGTAGATTTGCAAAATCAATGTTATTTTTTATCAAACATATTGTGCGGGGATGTGTACGATGTAGGTAGATTTCAAATAGAAAGTTGTGGACCAGTAGATAACATTTGATATTGGTATAGATTGTTTTAATGTAATTAAGTATATATATATCTCCTACATACCAACTCTATATTTTATTGTCAAACATACCAGCACACTGGGACAGTACCTTATTGATGTTTTACATACAACATATTTAATGTATTATAAGTAGGTGTAACAATATATATCTGAAGAGATTACATACAACACGATTTGCCAGCTCCACCCAATTATTTAAACAGTGGATAATAAAGAGAAGGCCTTAAATCTGTATTTATGTATTAGACACACCCAAAGTTTAAATCTATTTCCTATAACTACAATTCAGGCAAGAAATATGATGAATAAATCTGTTGACATTAGTCGATACACATGTACATAGTAGTAAACAAATTAAATGGCCAGTGCCACTTGTCACTGATAGAGAGAAGTAAACAGGAAATGTAAGGATTGAAACATGTACACACAGAAATAAACATGAAATTAATATGTATAATATATAGGCATATATATTTCCTTGAATGTCAGTTATTAGGGTTGGTTGTATGTCTAATTTGGCAGGTCTCCACAAGTTTATCTATTTAGTTTACTTTGGAGGTGAAATTAATTTGTATATAACATGTACAAGTACATTTCACTGACCATTATCAGGTCATAAAAATTTTGCTGGGATAGGACAATTTTCATAGGGAGGATTTGGTTAACCACCATCTACAAAATTTATTTTCATGAACATTTATGTTATGTATTCTATAATTAAATGTAATATTTACAGCTTTGTGGCTTTTATTGAAATTAATAGAATTTTTAAAATGAAATAACCCAAAATCTATAAAGTTAGGAATTAAAAACATGCATGTTAAATTTATTGAAATTTTATGAATAGTCTGATTCAGTCATTGGAAGTTCATCACTTGTGGCAGATTTTACAATAAAAAGGAAGTATTGCTTTTTTGTATCCATCAAAAAAGGAATTGCTGAAACTGTGAAACAGAGTTTGAAATGAAGTAATGCATTATGTTATTTAATAAAAGGTGTCTTTCTGAGTAAATAAAAATAAAAATCACCCTGTGTTTATGTTTTTTGTTAGAATTAGTGGGTTTTCAATTTCAAAATATTGGACATTGAATAGACATTGTGACCTACTTGACTGACATCTAGCTTATTTGGAGTGGAATTTTAAAGTATTATTTATAAGTGGAGCCTAATAACATGGACTTATATTTTAATAAAAAGTTTTCTTTTGTGTTTTAATTATAATTTTAAGGCACATTTTTATTGGTAAAGGCTAAAAAAGGTAATTTATTATATTATTGCGAACGTCACATCTTTTCCGTCCATTGTGGTATGTTACGATCGCAATTTTTTTGTTGGTTCTCAGACGGCCCATTGTTATTTTTAACTCGGGTTTTATAAATAATTGATATAAATAGCAATCACATTAAATTTTGATGACGAAAGTGGGTCAACGGACTTTCAGAATCAATATCATTAGCTGTTTTAGTTTTTGCGAACGTTACTGCTCTACGTTTCCGTCCAAATCAATGTCACGTGAGCAATATATATTTAGATCTGTAACTCTCCTGTATAGGAGTTACGATATCGCCCTTTGCAGAAATGGAAGCGGAGCCGGTTCCCTCACATAATGGGAAAGCAAAGAAGGTAAGTTGTCTGTTATATCGTTACATGAGGTCCTTTATTGTATTCCGTCCATCAAAAAGACATTCGCAACAAAACGTTGAATCAAGTAATGTCATTTAAATGTCGCATTAAGAAACTTTTGTTGTGGTTTTTCATCTCCCAACGAGATTTGACCATATTTTACGTACAGTTGAGTCTTCTAGTTCATCAAAATACATTTCTTTTAATAATTTGATGCGAACGGTATAACATGGACAGATTTTTATGTAGCGATCGTTACTTTGGGACAATATATTGTTGATGTGATGTTATATAAGAAAATTAAAACAGTCTAATATAGTAATGAAGGGGCGCTCATGACTATATATATTTGAAGGTAATAGTCTTTCCTTTTCGAAGAGCTTCATACCACATCTTCTATTTTTATAATAACAACTTAGTTCATTAATTGCCAAAATTAGTCCAGTTCTTAAAATTGTCAAAATTGGCATAAAAGTCATTGCTCACAGACAAATTTACCAAATGGTAAACATACATTTGATTTTCAGGGGTATCTTAGCATAATCTCTGGTAATCATTAAAAGAAGATGGTAACTTGAACTGTTCTTGCTACAATTAATGATGACAACATATCTTTAATTACCATATATTCTGAAAGCATTCGGCAAAAAACTATGTCTTGATTGAAGTAAATTTGAAGGCAGTACTTCAATACATTTTAAAAATTTTAATAGTCGTTCATTTTTTAAATTGTATTCATATACCAGTAATATTTTCAATTTATTTTCTTTCAGATGAAGTCCTCCAGAACTAACAGAGACGATAAATTTTTCAAACATTAAAATATTTTTAAGCTTCTTAGTCTAGGCAGTATTTTAGACTTTTGAATGCAAATGCATCATGAATTAAATGGGCAAAGCAAGTGTTCTGAAGACTACAAAAGACTTTCTTTACCAAAATCCATGGTGAAAGTCATTGAGGCATTGATCACTATGGTATTTCCATATTCACTGCGAATTGATTTGAAATTGTTCATTCTTCTGTTGTTTGATGTTTCTTGCTAGACATTACATGGGCATTTTGGCTTGTGCTTCATAAATAATCCATATCCCCCTTCTGTTTTGAGTGCCAAAGGTTGCAGGTTCAATCCGTAGCCAGATAAAAGAAGACATTAAAATTGGGTCTTTGCTGCTTCTCATCCAAGCCGACAGCATCTAGGAGTAAAAGCAAAGGTCAGCTTACAGAGGCAACAGAGTCTGTATAATGTGTCTTTGTGGAAAATCCTGCTAAGCGTGTCGGTCTAGTACAAAGCAGAGATCATATTAAATCAACTTGTTCTCATCCTGATGTGCACATACTAGGTTGACACTGGACGTTAAACAATAATTAATCCATCCATCCATAAAATCTGGTGTCTCAGTCTGGTACAAAGAACAGTTCTTATTGCATTTGGTACTCGTATCATATCAACATCTCAGTTCACGACTAAAGATATGAACAGATCTAGAAGAATCATTCAGTTACATCTGAAAACTTTTTCGATAAAGATATGAATCTTATTTTTCACCTCCTGTAACAATTTTGGCCCTATTTAGTGCGACCCATCTAGATAGCAAATTTTCTTAATGTATTACTGAAGAAGATGTCGCTAATGTTACTATTACAAATTGGTTTCTTGTGTATTCATTTGATACAAAGTACACCTGCCAATGACATTCTGTATATTTAGATATTCTAAACCAGACTGTACAATTTAATTACTCAAAGCATTTATAAAGCACGACTGTGTGCATACATTTTATTTTTTAAAGATGCTGTTGCTAATGTGACTTGTCCAAATGTCGCTAACGTTACTCATTTTTGTCTCCGTCACATTAGCAACAGCCTTAATTCAAAACATGTTTTCTTTCAAGAATCTGGCACAAATTAAACTAGTAAAAAGTAAATATTGACAACACATGCAACTTTATACTTATTCAATTCTTTTTACTGTGTATTAGATGTCATTTACTTTGAAAAACATAAACTTTTTGTCCCATTTTCCATATGTCACATGTCCATCATCTTAAACATATTTTTTTTCCACTAATATATTAGAAATAGTAATGTGAAAGATGCTGAATATCTTCCTAAACCCTTTACCTTTCAGAATTTATTTTGGTTTTATTGCTGGTTAAAGGCTTAAAACCAAAATTAATGAAATTTTGGACCAGGGTGCAAAAGGAGAAAATGTGGGTATCCTGTTTCCTTGGCAACCATTCAATAATCTCTTACATTATTTACTCCTTTTTTGAAGAATTATGATCTACTGATAATAAATTTTCAGAAAATTTAATTTTTTTTCGTGTAATGCCTTCTTTAATTATTTATCATGGAAGTAGGAGGCAGAACACAATACTGTAAAATCTGCCTTGTACATTGTACTTTAATGGTTCAGTTGTTTTTTTACTAAAGGTCAACTGTCGTTATGTAAAAATATTATTTTAAACCTTGAAATGGAATTTTATAAACTTTATGACATTGATATTAACATATTGGAATTTGTATTGTATGTTAATTATGTGACTCATTGGGAGTTTCCTGTGTGATTTTATTTTTACAATGAATAACCTTCTACCAGTTTTATGTAATGCATTACTTACATTAAATCATCTGGAATTAGCAACTCTTTCCGTTTTGAGTGAAAATGATTAATTAATCACCATGCATAAACAATTGCATTTGTAAACGACATTTCTGCAGAGTTGTGCATTACTTTCATGAAGATGTGCATTGAAACTTCCTTTTAAAATGAATTAAATACTTCAACCATACTTGAACAGTTTTCATTATTTTTATTTCCAGGTCTGAATTGAGACTTGATGGGCTAGAAGATGCACGGGTGTTAGAAGATGAAACAAATGACCGTTTGGCAGACAAACACGGATGTCCTGCATACGTTAGTCCAGAAATTCTTCATTCTAACGAAACATACTCAGGTCGAGCAGCTGATATCTGGAGCTTGGGAGTCATGCTCTACACGATGCTAGTCGGACGTTACCCATTTCACGATTCTGATCCGAGCACACTATTTAGTAAAATCCGTAAAGGCCAGTACAGTATTCCTCCGATGTTGTCGGTGAAGGCTAAATGTCTTATAAAAAGTCTGTTGCGTCGAGATCCAGACGATAGACTGACTGCCGGAGATGCTCTCCAACACCCATGGATTAATGGGAAACAGTCACCTGGTTTTATGACAATCTTGGATCACAAACATAGTGACCAAACTGTTCCAAGCGTGGTATTTAATGGAGAAGAAGAAGAGTTCTTTCTCTGAACAATATTGTCGTTAGCATTCAGTTGAATTTCAAGCGCCAGTGTTATTTTGTTTATTTATTTGGAGTGACTTTTATTCAAGTATAGACATCTCTGTCGAAAAAAGACAGCTACGGGTAGAAATGATTATTAAGAACGAACTTTGAATGGTTGTTAACTGACATTCTGTCCATGTTTTAATGGCAGCTTTATAATTGAAGAAAAAAACTATATAAATTAATTTAATAGCAAAAGTTATTTTGACAGTGCAATGCTGGCATGCTGAGCACAGCCCTGCACTTTAATACGTTGTTTTTATTACACTTTGTTTGAATTAACTGTGATAAGCATATGTTAATTGGTCAGTGAATCCATACAGTAGGTGGCTGGTTAGAAAAAAGTTAGAGAATGAAAATTGGTGTGGTGATTTTTTTCACAGTCAAGTTAGACCAAGTGTAATTTAAAAGCAATAGGAATTTTCAAAGAAGTATGTGTTATGGAAGAGTATTTTTTTTAAAAACATTTTACGTGCGAATGGTGCCATCTTCGTAATCATTCATCCAAAATCCATCCAATTCCCATCGTTTACATGTTTTCATAGTGTATGCTCAATCCAGAGTGATAGATCTACATTTTAGTGTGTTTGTTCTCATTGTATGTGTAGTGGTGATTATTTAGATTTGTGTGTGTGCGTGTGTTTATGAACTTAAAAAGTTTTTATTTATTGAATATTCCAGTTTCTATTTCTAATCATAATCAATTTGTATGTGCTTTACAGAAAATAATTTAAATTGACAGGGTACATACATTTCATGATGCAAGTGTAACTATTTGAATTCGATCAAACTTAAAAAAGAATTCCTAACTCTGAAGTTCAGAAACAAAGATCTTAGTGTATTTATGATTGAAAGATTGAAATATAATTTTTTTGTGTGTGTCAAAGATGAGCTTTTTCATTGCTGGCTATTCTTCCATGAAGATTATATTTCAAGTGTGCAATTGATTAGTAAATGTGACTAAATGAACTGTCCATCACACAGGAGTGACTGTTTATTGGTTTTGTATTATGATATTCATACAATATTAATTTATACTTGTGTTGATGTTATTGTTACTAGAAATGTTATAAAAGGAACATCCATGTCTATTTCACATAGATTATTGGAGTTTCTAATAAAATACACAAAACAAGATATTTGTCTCTTGTCTGATTACTTACACTGCTGTGTTTTGTTTGAACAAAAATGAAGGATTCAGGGATTTATATAACGTAATAGGGAAACGTGGTATGATTGCCAATGAGTTAAAATGAAGTGGTAGTAAAGTAATGGTAGGCAGCTCTCCCAGCTATAAATGTAAAATATAAGGGCATGCACCACACGCACAGATAGGCATTCTACAATGTCCACACAGCAGGAGCAACAAACCTTACAATTAATGTATAAATATTAAAGATGTGGTATTATTGCCAGTAGACAGCTATCCACCAGAGTTCTACACAATTTTAAGGTACCGGTACTAGGATTCTGATAGCATCCTCCCTTTTGTAGTTGATGGTCAGCAAACTCACAACAATATACTGTAACCAGTCTGTTTTTATCTACGTGATATTATATGTAGTTCTGGATAATATATCAGTGTCACTAAATATCAATAGTTGAAATATATTGATAAAAAAAATTCATATATAGGCTTATGGCTAGTGATGATGTCAACGTATATTTGTTACGCTAAACATAAGTTCCCCTGGAAACTTTGTTATAAAAAATGCCATAATATCTGTTTCTGTTTGAATAACAATTCTATACCCTTTATTCCTTAAGGAACAAATTCTGTAAAACTTGTCCCAGTGGCCGAAACAATATTACAGAATTTTTCTTCCATTTTGAACTTATGTTATGAAGGAACTTCTATTTCATGACAAAGACACTTAATTGAACAGTTACTATAGTACCATAATCTTATGATAAATCATTATGTAAGAAACACACATGTAACAAATCATTTGCCAGAAAAGCAAATATTGTTCTTTCTTGATTCTGCAATTTCTTGGCATAGGAGTATCTACGAGTTCCCAGTTACATCAGATTGTAAAGAGAGTACAATCCGCTTTATATAATCATAAAGAGTGAGAAGATGATGTATCATTGTTGACGAGACAGCTATCAACTAAAGAGCAAGGTCAAGGATGCCAAAAGCTGGTTACTGTGCGAGACAATTAGCTAAACCCCATACACTAGTCCTATACATGTAGAAAGCTAGCACAGAAATGTGAAACAATTCTAAAGATAAAAATAAGTCTGATTTAAAATACAATCATAAAGAAAAAACAAAGCACACTGCAATGTACAATCACTGACTACACATTAACTCCTGGCTGGTAAGTACACAAAAGTATGGGGCACAATGATGTTCTTCGTGTTTGTGAATGCTCAAATCGTTCCCACCATGTGACAGTTGCACAAACGTTAACGTCAGAACAAACCGAAAATTAGTTGGAGACTCGAATCGTCGGAGTGATTCGGAGGTCAAAAATGGCTACGTAACGATCAAAGGATGCCTACAGTTACTGGATGTTTGATGGATTTGGCTATTTTTGGTCAAGTAGCTCTTCCAACTGTTTCGGTTCTTACTAGTACACATCCTTGGCTTTCGAATATTCGGCATTGAGCATTCCTGATGAAGGTATATCCAGAAAAGCGCTTCGGACGCATTTAATTTATAGCGTGTTGTTTTCATTTTTTAATTCAAAGAAGAAACTAAACAAAAGAAAGGAAAGATCATGTAATAGTAATATCAGCTACAACCTCCAATGGAGTTCTTTTTTTAGACATGAACAGTCTTCTTTTCGGTGTTGGCTTCCATGCTCGGAAACACCAAGGATCAATCCGAATAGTTTCAACTTACTTATATTACTCAATCATCACAGTGTACAGCAATGTACACATTATAACAAATTAATTTTTTTTAGCTTAAAACATGGGAATCCTGTTAGAAATAGTTCATGCATATTCATTACGAGATGGGGTTCATAAAGATCGGTCGATGTGGAGACTCAATAAAAATATAGAAAAAAATTTAGGAAGCTGAAGACATGAAATGAAATAAGTAGAGTAAATAGATCATCAAGTTATAAAACTGTAACAGGTACTTAAAGATATAGGAGAATCGACACATATCCTAAAATAGGTCGTTTAAAGAAATAAAAGTATCATTTTACCGGTAGTTAAAGTTGCGATTATTTTAAGAAATGGGAGATATATTTTGTTCCGTAATTGTAAACATGTGTATAGTTTCTAAACTCCTCTGGTTAAAAAGTAATGTATATATATTTGATATTTTATATACATGAGAAATAGGGAATCAGATGATATCTTGTTTTTTTAGTGGACTGGATGTCAGAAGTTTTATTGAATGAAAAGGTTAAAAATGAATAATTCACGGTTTCAGATATTTCTTTAAATATACCTGTAAACAATTTTACATTGAAAGAAAACCACAAATAAAGTGTTTTAACTGTTTTTGTGTGGTTTGAAGGGTTAATCACGATCCCACTTAAAGAAAACCAATGTCTTAAATACAGAAATTATGTAACTGCATCTATATCATAACTAAAAATCGTGAGTTTAAAAACCAATATAATATCGATGGGCTCTTAGAAAATATGAGGGTCTTGATGGGTGTCCTTCATTTCTGTATTCTTTATATGTTTTGCCGATTATGCTCTATTCTTTATATTTTAGCACGCCGTTGTTCTCTTTTTCTTTATTCTTTTGCCCTATTTTTCTCTATTCTTTTGCCCTATTTTTCTCTATTCTTTGGCATTCATTTGCCAAAGATTTGTATAGTAACTGCTGTTACTTATCTTATTTCTTTCAATACATGTGAAAGCATACCAACGTACAGTCAGAAAAAGATGAACCAAGTGTTCTGTAATAGATGACACCGTATCACAAGTCTCTCTTTTCAAGTTAATGTCTGTATAATACGTAACCATGAATAATTCTATGGTTGACTATTTGAGAGGCTGATATGACAGAGAGCTGACACTATAAGGTTGCCCTATTAATTTATGCACAATTGATTCATGTTCTCTGACAAGAAAGAAAAATGTATCACTTGGTTTTCGAAGACCCCTTCTGTCCTGTTTGTTAAACCATTTCTCATATTACAAATGTAATGTTATTAGTACAGTTCAAAAGATTTGCTTGCAGTGGATAATTTATATCACACTGATCATGAGTAACGTTTCTTCAATGCCTTTATAATGAAACCGGCTACATGTATATGATACACAATGCAGTAATTCTTCTTGAAATGTGTGGTCAGTTCTCAAACTACGTAACTGGCGAAATAGCAGCTCACAATTACTTGTTGGGGTAAGATTAGTTGAGCTTGCCACAAAAATGGTTTTGCACCTATTTCCCGAAATTGATAGTTTCGGAAGAAGCAAATTTGCATAAATATAGCAATAATACCATCATTTACAAGAATGAGATATTTTTTCAATGTTTTGGCAATTGACTGAAATTAAAAGTTTACAGAAATTAACATATAAACACATTGTTCTTACACATTTAATACGCTTTTTCATCAAAAGTAAACACCTTAATTACCGTGGCTTTCTCATCAAAAGTTACTTAAGTGGGAATCAATAATAATTACATTTACGAATGCTTAAAGTCCCTTAACATCACAATATTGTCTCTACGTAACAAAAACAAGAAAATAACTCGATACATGTGTACAAAAAATAACCGAATAATTGTTCCGATATCGTAAGTGACAAGTAGCAGTGGCGAGTAGCGCGAAGTCTCGCCACGTAAGAGAAAACGACAAACTACGTTCTTACTATACAAATCCTTGATTTTGCCATGTATTCTGCACATTTTGCCCATTATTCTCTATTCTATAAACCTTATCCAGACCCTCATATAAGATACATATTTTGCACTACGATAATCATATTTTGATAGAGGTCGTCATTTGACTTCAATATCATAACTCCAATTTTTGCTTCCTCTATAGTTGTAATTATTTATTAAAAAAAAAAAAAAAAAAAAATTCTCAAGTAAACGCGACCAATACCAGCTTTCAGTTCATGCGTAAAGGTTGGAAACATCTCAAGTTCGAATTTCGTCAATAGTTATAGATGTAACTAATTTAATTGCTTTAATATGGAAGTTCCCCAGTAGTAAAAAAAAAAACTTCGCACAAAAGAATGGTTTAATCTTTATAGCAACAGGAAGCCAGTGAAATACAATACATTTCGGCGATGATGGAAACTAAACACAAACTTGTAACCTTCAATAGCATTTAATGACAGAAATGACTAGTAGTTCCCACATCGGAAACCTTGGGTAAAATCATTCAAATCTGTGAGGCGGGTCCAGGGTTTAATATTGGTGGTGGTGGTGGACCCGAGGTGCCGCTGATAATTAGGAGTAAAGAGGACCATATTTTGACATGAAATGGCTGAAATGTTACCTATGTATTAAATTTCTTTACTTTTTTTGGAGGGGCGCGCCGGGTATGAATCCGCGCCTGCACATCTCGGGGCCCCCCTTTTGTGGGAAAAATTTGGTTGATTATTTAGAGAATCACTCATTGAAGCGGACCCTTTCTTATGGCAGTCAGTTGGTTCCCCCTTATGAACATTTCTGGATCCGCCATTGTACATAACGTCTGACCGTCTTTTAAGTATTGGGACTCCAACAAATTCTAAAGAATGCCATCAGACGTCTGAGCAATGTAGGGCTGGTACTAGACCTGCTCTGGTTCGACGAAGGTAATGATCGTCCGAGACTTATACTAGGCAAAGAAACTAAGAATTGTTTTTGGCGCCGATATTCATGCATTTATTTTGCAAATGTGAACAAGAACTATTTATATTTGGAGGTAACATTTCATCGACGTAAAGACATTAACAGAATCAGAATTAATTGTTTCGGGTTTGATTTTAGTACAACTATTTTCAAATTAATATTTCTCTTTTACAATTATACACCATTTTATGAAACACAAATTATTGATTGAAAGGAAAGTAATACTGTATTTCAAAAGGGATGGGAAATTTGACTGGAACGTCCTTCAAGATCACAAAAATCCGGATCTACCCGAGAATTACTCGACTATATATTACGGGGATAGCACTTCAAGGGTAACCTTTATTTGACCATATTCAATGAAGTAA